TATAAAACATTAGTTCAAACATTAAATCAGCAACAATTCTGGGACTTGAAAATTTTTTAAAAAGAAAAATAGGGTAGCAAGAAAATAAATACAGGTTTCCGTATAAGGTAGATATGTATGTGTGCATATGAAGTGGCAGATACAGTCATCTTGGCTGGGCCTTCCTTGCAGGTGGAGAGCATGTTATGGTTCCATGCAATTTCTAGTCTTACCGATTCATTTTAGCAAGAGCAAGATTTGACCATTGGTAACATTTTGGTGAAAGTTGTTTGAGTTGTTGCCAATTTTCTCTTCAACATTGTGTGGGCTTAAATTTGTATATGAAGCTATTAGAGGGATGCTAAATAATTTGACTGCCAGTGTTTCACCAAATGAAATATATGACTTTTTATTGGAACTTATTTGGCATGGTTGAGTTTAGCTACAAACTAAACAAGCCTTAGGGATGCCTCTACCTATGGATACTTGGGGAATACTCCTCGTAACTAATTTAATCGCTAGCATGCACCTACCGCTATCATTGTGATATATCAGCCCATTTTAAGCCTGTAGTAGTAGTAGTAGTGTGGAGTCGGTCCAAGGGGCCAATAAGTGGTTTTTGTAGTTGGTAGTTTAATTTGTGCTCCAACCATATTACCATGTGCTAATCCTTTTGCAGGAAGCAAGTACGAATGTAAGTGGAGTACTATACGAAAGTGAGCGCGCTCAACATGTAGAGCGGGCTAATGCAGTTCATTCATAAAGCTTAGTTGCATGGTTGCGTGTGCATACGGCCGGGCCTGCCCTGCCCTGTATCCGGGGGAGTTTCTAGGCCTATGTCGTTTGTGTGGTGAGCTGTCAGAGACGTCAGCCCATAAGAGGGGTAATTATAACACGCAGCCTGTTTGTAGCCTGTTTTAAGCCTTGATGTGGTACCCCGAGTTAAAAACGAGGATAAAAGTGTAAGCAAAGTTATGCGCATATGGGCCCATTCAATGTGTTGAGCGGACTATTGTGTTTATTGGAGGGTGTTACAAACATACCTTTGGTTATGTGTGATACTTAGAGCCCCATCATGCATGGCTCCTGTGTTTCTCCGACACCGTAGCCATTATCTTGGATACCAAATATAGGAGCAGAATTCCAGGAATCGGTAGAGGTCAAGAGAGAACGTTGGTGTGGCCTGTGCCGAGGTTGCCAGTATTATAAGTGCAGTTTTTTCTTCTTCTGAGTTGTCAGGATTGCTTTTCTTTGAGACATAGGCTCTTTTTACCATTGACTTGAGCGCATGAAAATATAGATTGTCCTTTGACATAGGATTTTATGATCCTTAGGAAGGTACTGTATCTCGTAGCATTAATTTGTGGAGACCATGAAAAAACTCAAATAAATGGCTACTTTTAGCAAACTAAGATTCATTCTTAAAGTGCACTTTTTGTTGCTTGCAGTTAGTCGCCGAACTATTCCGTACCAATAGTCAAATGGGAACACAAGCTCAGAGTGGTGCACTTGCAATCACAGTGGAAGCAGAACACGATGGAGTGAAACAATTCCTAGGTGATAATGCCCAAACTAGCAGCCTGAACAGACTGGAGCATGAGGAGCAATCAAACTACACAGAACTGCAGACAACCTTACTACACGTCCTTGCGTCTACGACTGAACATGGAACTGATTGTTTGGCAAATGTGATTCAGAAAATTGCACCTGGGGACGGTCTCAGCAGATTTGTGGGGATGCTCAAGTCGTTGGTTGAAAAGCACAGCAGAGTCGTTACTGAAGATGGCCTGATAATCATAAAGGCTACCGCCTGGCTGATCATGTGGATGTTGAGGAGAAGTGAGTTCGTTCAGGAAATCAGGCAACAGAAGATCGTCGAGGCACTGCCTGAGGCTACAAAAATTGTTTCCCGTACATCTCTAACAAAGAAGAAACAACCCGCATCTGATCTCGACATCTGGAAGCTCTTGGGTTACAATATATATTATAAACGGTTCGCGAGTAATATCCGGCTTAGCAGTCGATTGTCTAGTCTTGTGGAAGATGCACAGGACGAACTTGTTCGTCAACAAGAAGTTACCGTACAAGTGGAGTGATGGACAGGCGGCATGCTTATGGATTACGCGTGCTAGCTGCTAGATCGATTCATCTTCCGTTTGCCAAATTAATCAGCATTGCCGTTGCATTCGTGGCGAACGCACCAGCAAACCAACAACCTAGTAGTATTGTTTTCTTTTGTATATGTTGAATCAGAGCCATGCCATGGGCAGCCCTGTAGCCGTCCAAACAGCCCGAGCAAACATATTGTTATTTTAGTCCCTATTGGGATTTGCTATACATCACCAGCGTGTTCTTTTCTGTAAGTCGGATTGGGATCAGGTGCAGTCACTATAGTGACTTCAACTTTGGATCCAACCATCTAGCTGATAACGAACGTGCAGGATTCAGTTCTGTATTCTTCTTTTCCCCTCAAAAAAATTGTGTATTCTTCTTTAGCTGTTTGAACATGAAATACTTGCATGCTTATTTTTCATTTGAGAAGAAGCTTGATACTACTATTTATTTAGATGTTTAAAAGAAGTTTGTGATTTATTTGAATGGTTTTTAAGTAGAGCCCATATCTTGATGTTTAAAAGAAGGGCTTTCAACTCGTACTCTGTTCAATTAAGAAACTCTAAACGTATTGATTTCCTTTAATGTTATCAATAGAAGTATGGGCGTATTTTCTTTATAAACTACATTTTTTATCTCTTAAACTTTAGGAAGTATTGAGATAAAAAAAAAGAGAGAACATTTCACGTTCAAACAACTAAAAAGGAGGGAGGAGAGACAATTAATTCTGGACGTTCATTACCTACTGGATGGTGGATCACTGGCAACTGCCACCTGATCCCAATCCCTCTAAGTCGCACTTGAATTTTCAGTCATTGGACGAAATTTAAGATTCACGCTGGTTTTATTGGACCCGCAGTTCATTTTCGGGATTGAATCCATTTTGTTATGATCCGTTCTGACCGACGACCGCTCCACCCATATACAGTACCCGATATTTTTTCACTAACGACCCGTATTACTGGGATCACTTTTCTGTTCCCTCCACTGAGGCGATGTCCTCAACGGGAGGCAAATCCAGGCATCCAGCAATGGGAGGAGGTCACCTGCTGCTGCGCCGGGGTTCAGCTGCGAGGCTAGTGTGGCGCCCTCCCTCGCCGTCGACTGCTCCGGGGAAAAATGCATGGTGGTGCGGCACTCGTCAGGCAAAGGGACAACGAATCGCGAGGATGTCGTTGCTGCTGTGGCTTCGGGTTAAAACAAAAAAAAAACCAGGCGATCAGATCTGTACAACTTGTCCCATGGTGAGCAAGAATTTATTTGTGTTGCTGCTGCGGGCTGATTTGGTTGATATATAAGGTGGATGCAATTGCAGTTTTATGGGCTTTTTCCCCTGATCTGTTACTGTTAAATGCATGAATAATAAATAATTCAATCTTTTACTGCTTGAATGTATTAATGCAGATTGTAGCTGAATTTTTCAGGGGGAGGGTGGTGGTGGTGGAGGGTTTGTGAGCATCATATAAGCGACAGCACTATTTCAACGTGCTATGGTACCTTCATTTTTTTTTTGATTTTTTTTTCGCTCCAAAGGCCTACTATGACACTGATTGAGAAAAGACGTTTTTTTATCCTTATTGGGTAAAGACGTTCGTAGTAGGTGTAGATATGGGTGGACGTTTGTTCAGACCGAAAAATTCGGTCTCGGTCTTCGGTCATTTTGGTTTTTGAAAACTCAAGACCGAATTTCATCTAAAAAAACTCAGGACCGGTAAATTCGGTCTCGGTCTGACCGAAATTTTTCAGAGTAAGTTTGGAATAAAAACTTTTAACAGGACTTCCCCTCTTGAGACATTTTTCACATATATATATATCACAAAAATACAAGATAATATGCAATATTAAATAGCACAGGTCTCAAAAGTCAACTGAAGTTCTCAACAATCACACACACAGTACAACTCACAAGCACAAATGGGAGGGCGTGGCGTCCGTGGAGCACGGAGCACAGAGGCGGCGCGGTGGAGGGCGGCGCCGGCACGGTGCAAGGCAGACTCCCGGCGGCGGAGGCCGCGGCCGCGGCGGTGGAGGATGGAGGCGGCGCGGTGGAGGGTGGCGCCGGCGCGGTGTAGGGCGGACTCCCAGCGGCGGCGGCGGCCGCGGCGGGGGAGGACGTAGGCGGCCCGCGGAGATGGCGCGGCGCGGTGGAGGGCAGAGGTGGCGCGGCGCGGTGGAGGCGGAGGCGGGCGCGGTAGAGATGGGGAGGCGGCTGTGCAGGCATGCGGCAAGTGATAGGGTTGTATCTAGGGTTAGTACTACTGGGCTTAGTGGGCTTTAGGCCTAGTGGGCCAAATTCTCGATCAATTTTGTTAATTCGGTTAACCGATCCTAATAACCAAAATGACCGGAATAAATTCGGTCTTTCGATGGTGGGGACCGAACAACTAACCGAAACTTTTGGTCTCGGTCTTGGTCTTTTCGGTTTGGTCTAAATCTGTCCACCCCTAGGTGTAGGGACAAACACAAAGAGCAAAATAGACATTCGGGCCCTGTTTAGTTCCCAAAAACTTCTCATAAAAATATCACATAGAATCTTTGGACATATGTATGGAGCATTAAATATAGATAAAAAGAAAAACTACTTGTACAGTTTGTATGTAAATCGTGAGACGAATCTTTTGAGTCTAATTAGTCCATGATTAATTAGCCATAAGTTCTACAGTACCCACATGTGCTAATGATGGCTTAATTCAGCTCAAAAGATTATATTCGTCTCGCGGTTTCCAGGCGAGTTATGATATTAGTTTTTTTATTTGTATCCAAAAATTCCTTCTGACATCCGATCAAACGTCCGATGTGACACTTAAAAATTTTCATTTCACCAACTAATCAGGCCCTAAAATAGACTAAAATAAACATTCAAATAGCGGGACGTGACACGTGACTGACCTGACAGTGCCACGGAGACTGCTGACAGCGACACAGAGGACAGAGCAACGACCAATCATCGAACAAACGATATAATTAACTAACATGCACGGGGTTCACGAGCGCACCAGATCATCATTGGCAGGCATACGCAACGCAACAGCAGCCGCGATGGCCGCGGCGCCGGGCGAGGTTAGCGGCGGCCAAGGCAACGGCGGCGTCACCGCCATCGCCGAGCTCACCATCTCCTCGCTGCCGCTGGAGACGCGATGCGCGCCGTTCCCCCTGCGTCAGCACGGCGGCTTCTGGCTGCCGGAGACGTTCCTCCCGGGGCTCGAGGCCGCGCGCGCGCGCTTCGAGCCGCGGCCGTCCGACGTCCTCCTCGCGAGCTTCCCCAAGTCCGGCACCACCTGGCTCAAGGCGCTCGCCTTCGCGACGCTCAACCGGGCCGCCTACCCGCCCTCCGGCGAGGGCCACCCGCTCCGCCGTCGTGGCCCGCACGACTGCGTGCAGTTCCTCGAGTCGGCGCTTGTGGTGTCCGACGACATGTTTGCTTCACTCCCTTCGCCGCGTTTACTGTCTACCCACCTGCCTTACTCCCTCCTGCCTGAGGGCGTCAAGGCGGATAGCTCCGGCTGTCGTATCGTCTACATTTGCAGGTAAGTTTGTTAAAATCTTAACTCTACGGTACTTCTACGATTTATGATTGTGATCCTGCCATATGGCCCGAGGCCCGATGGCACTGCTCAAGACCCAGTGATTTGGCCCAGCCCAGACACGGCATGGCCTGGCTCGGGTTGTGCCTGTGCTGGCCTGGCCCAACAACCATGTTGTGTCTGGGCTGCTACCTCGGCACGCTGGGTTGGTATGGCCTAGCACGAAGTTCAGGGATGCGAAACCTGGCACTTATTTTCAACCATATGTAAGACACAACACAAAGAATAGACAGAAAAATAGATATATTATATGGCACGGCTCAAAGAGTAGGAACGTAAAATAGATTTATTTTAGCTATATATATGTCATAGCCAAAGATGAGAAAGGGGAAATATACTTATTATAAATAAGGCACGATGAATCACCCGTGCTTTCAGACCGGCACGGCATGGCCCCTGGGCCTGAGGTGCAGTTCGTGGGGCGACACGACATGGTCCGAAGTGCCGACCGTTCCATGTTGGGCGGGTCTGATGGTCATCTATACTTAGAATAATATCCCATTCCGATTCAGAATTTTAACAACCTTGTTTGCAGGGATCCCAAAGACGTTCTTGTCTCCTGGTGGCTGTTTACCAAGAAGGCCTTGGGCACTCAAGATGGACCTACCAACGGAGGCAACAAGCCAATGCTTTCCAACGGACCATACTGGCGCCACGTGCTGGAGTATTGGGCAGAGAGCAAGAGGAGGCCACAGAAGGTTCTCTTCCTCCGCTACGAGGAGATGACACGAGAGACGACGAGCAACGTGAGGAAGCTGGCCGAGTTCATGGGCTGCCCGTTCTCCGGCGAGGAGGAGGCAGACGGCGTGCCGGACGCCATCGTCGGCCTCTGCAGCTTCGACCATCTCAGGAGCTTGGAGGTAAACAGGAATGGTGCCAATGATTTCAACATCAAAAACGACTCGTTCTACCGAAAGGGGGTGGCTGGAGACTGGGCCAATTATTTGTCACCTGAGATGGCGGCACAGCTGGATCTGGTCATTGACGACGAGTTGCGGTCCTCTGGGTTTAGCTTTGCCACCGGTGGACGGTAACTCAGCATGAGCCGCCACAGGTATAGCCCATCGACCGGCCTTGTGGTCGGACCACGGTGATCGATGCATGCTGCGCAAGAAGATCCATCGCAGTTACCTGCTACTACTGCTAGTAGTACATACACCCAAAGCATTGTTTGGTCAAGGATATAATAAGAGCGTAGGTTGTATTGAAATCTCAAACTGGGGATAAATAAAGTCATTGCCTAGAATTCTAGACTGAGGGTCTGCTTGGTTAGAGGCACTAGGATGCGCCCGTTTCAGTAGATAGGATAGGCTGATTAGCTGCACGTAAAATGAGAAATATGATTAACATATGATTAATTAAGTATTAATATATAAACACTACAAGATTCCTAACTTTTAACAAGGGGTTTAAACCGTCGGCCACCTATTAAAACTGTCGGCCATACTTATTACTGAGTGGGTACCGTCGGCAACTTCCCCTCAGCAACATGTGGTCGGTAATTGATCATATTGCCGGGGGTACCCTCGGTAACCATGTACCCGAGGGTTTCGTCCCGAGGGTTTACGGTCGGTCATTTTTTCAGAGACCACGCATGTTTCTTTCTTGCCGACCACATTTCCCGAGTGTATACCGTCGATTATTCTTATTCTCACCGAGAGGTTTATTTTCCCGTCAAATTGAGAACCCTCGGCTATTTAGTGACCGATGGTTCCGTAGGCCTTCGGAAATAGTATTTGCCATAGGTTTTTTTATACCGTCATCCATTCGTTACCCTCGGAAATAGTATAACTGAGAGGTTATTTAGGTTACTTGGAAAAGTAGATCTAACCCTCGGTAATTTGATATTTTCTAAAAAAAAAGCAAATTTAAATTGTACCCATTTTTAATTAATCTTATAAAAGTAACTTACTGCGCATAGTCACATCAAAATAAATTTCAGCTTAATTAATCCATAAACAAATCCACGGGAAGTTCAACCATAGATATATAACCAAATTGTTCTAAAATATTTATCATCCATCACCATAGCAAAACTAAGTAATACATGACATGTCTTGCATGAAAGACTTTAATTGAAACAAGTCTGTAACATTTAAAATAAGATAGATTGAGAGGAAAAATCTCTAAGCTACAAGGGTGGTCCGTCTTCTATTGCCATCTTCTTCAGGAATCTCATTTCCTTCCTCAAGATCAAAATCATTGCCCTCATCATCATCAATCTCATTTCCTCCCTCTTGATCAAAATCACTCTGCAGATATGATTGTATCTTAAACATTAGATACTGTACTATATTTAGATAATGTTAGGTACTGCACTAGAGAAAACTTGTATTCGCTATCACAAGAATACTTTGAAAGAAACTTATTTTGGAGGGTTTCTAAATTGGCACACATGGGGGAGTTCCTGATGAAAATTTCCAAATCTAGGAGGCAAGTAGCATTTGTGTCTAAGTCCAAACTTAAGCTAGTAATTGATCATTAGAGGTTCAACATTACCGAGGATTTGGTTCTCATAATTATTAAGCAGCAGTCTTTAAAAAGTAAAATTACAGAGGTTACCCAAGCTTCTTCTGTCCTCTGGTTGCATAGCTGTTCATTATTTCCTTGTTGCATCTCGTGTGTGTGCTGCCAAGCAGCAGCAAGTCCTTGTTGCCCACCTTTTTTATGTTGCTACATTACAAATAAATTAGTATATGCAACTTTTTTAATATAGGAACAAGCTCTATGGATTGCTACAAATTAACAAAGTACCAGGAACTGCTTCATGGCAACCAAGCATTGGTATCCAGTATCACCTCCAGCTAACCTGTTTCTCTTCCCATTTAAAGATTTCTTCCTAAATTTAGGTGTACTCCAGTGCTCACAAAGTAAACGCCAACCCTCTTCAGTAACTGAAAAATCCTTTGGTTTAGCAGAAACCAAAGCTTGCACAGTAGGCCAATGGTTATCATCCTCATCAACATCCTCTGCTGGTACTTTGCCTTTTTTATATAACTTATTAGTAGCTCTTTTCTTCTCTTCAAACAACATTTGTGGCACTTTCTTCTTGAAATTTTGCTCCAAGACTTTATCAGCTTCCACTTTGTCAGTGGGATCACATTTAAAACAATACTGCCAAATCAAACAAGAATAATATTATTTTTCCACACCGTTGAGACTATCACAAATCTGAGGAAATCTTACCCAAAATTCTTTAAGAACTCGGTCAGCTGGTGACATTATTCTTTCATTTGTAGACCTCTTGTAGTCCCTCCAAGTAAGTGCAGGTGTCCTGAATTCTGGGAGACCAATAGCACCAGGATAGAACATACGCAACAGTGCACCTTGCACTGTTGATGGTCTACGAGATGAGATATGAGGATACACTTCAAAAGCGCTACAAACAGAAAAGTAAATTATTAGTATATCCACAAATTCGTTCATCCATATATATTGGCTCTGTTTTGTAATAAAGCTTTTTGTTAAGCATACACTTGAAGAAGTCAAAATGAAATTTATTTAAAACTTACTCGCCAGCTAGGACTATTCTAGGACGATCAGCCTCCTCCATTAGCAGGTTGCCTGAGAGTGTCATTCAAAATTTTATATACTATATTCCAGAAGTTAAAAAATGAGTATATATGGGAGTTTTCTAGATTCAACAGCCATGGGCATGATTGTGCAACAAAGAATGACAGTGTATAGATTCTGAACAGAAAAAAATGGACAATCTGCAGGGGAAGTAAACTAAATGAAAAAAAAGTACATGTCTTGAAGAATTCTACAGTGTGCCAGCCGGTGTGCAAGTAATATGGGGATACTGTGAAGTGAAGAGGAAGTTCGCTATATCCCTAGATAAAAGGGAGAAGTGGATTGGGAGATTTGAGAAGAGGAGTAAATTCAGAATTTTTAGGATAGAGCCAGCACTGGGGCACCTAGGCGAAGGGCAGAGACCACAGGACAGCAGCATCCACTACAGATCTTTGCTAATTATCTTAATTTAACACATAGTTGTTCATCCACTACAGATCGTTGCTAGGAAAATGCACTCAACAAAAATCGAAAATCAGATTAATGTAGAGAATAAGGCCATTGCAGGAAGAAAACTTTGAGGGAGGGAGAGCAGGAGGGAGGGATGACCATACCTTGACGTGGAGTGGTGCCCTCGCGTGTGCCCGGCGAACAAATTCCGCCTGTGGGGGAGATGACGTACGGAGAGGAAGGGAATTCACAGATTCAATCTAATGAATCAGTTTTGCTTCCAACTATTTCGAAGGAGAAAAGGCGCAAGAGTAGGAGTATATACTTATCGCGTGGGCGGCTAATTTGCGCGCGTATTATTTTAGGAGATCGAAAGTGGGAGTGAATAAGGAAACTGTCAGCCACACTGCAAATTGGAAATTTTTAGGTCACTAACACGTACTTTAATATTTTGGTGCCTCTTTGTTCAGTGTACAAGGCTGAGCTCAGCTGGTTTGGAACTATTATTTATGTTGGAGGTCTTGAGTTCAAACCCAACATTTGACATATATTTTTTAAAATTTTGGATTGTATATATACATCATGCTTACAAAATAGTAGATAATATTAATAAAATATGGCCACATTTTTATGCTTTTTGGCACAATTTTAATACTATTGAATAATGTTCTCTTCAGTTTGACGTATATGCATGCCATTTCATAAACTACTCATCTGGTCAAAGTTATAAACTCTTTTAATGCAAACATACATGAGCATACATGGTTTAATCATGTGAAAAATAATCTTATACATTGCATTTGTAAAGAAACGAGATAATAATTTATGAGATTGGGACGCAACTACAAGGTGCCATGAAGCGGGTACATACAGTGGGCAGGGGGCCGAGAAGAATGAAATGAAAAAGGAGAAAATTGGCTATGAGAATAACTCGCACGAAGATGATATATGAGAATAAAATGGATAAGCATATATACTATCTTTGATGCTAAGCACAAGATGTCTTATATATGAAACCAATCAAATTGATGTGGTTAATATGGTAAAGACTAGAGAGTCCATTAATATACCCCTCGGTTACTAATATACCCCGTCGGTCACTAATAATAATTTTCGAGAGTTATATTAAACCTCTCGGTTACTAATATACCCCGTCGGCCACTAATAATCATTTCCGAGAGTTAAATTAAACCCCTCGGTTACTAATATACCCTATCGGCCACTAATAATAATTTCCGAGAGTTAAATTAAACCCCTCGGTTATTAATATACCCCGTCGGCCACTAATAATAATTTCCGAGAGTTAAATTAAACCTCTCGGTTACTAATATACCCCGTCGGCCACTTATAACCATTCCCGAGTGGTATCTTATAACTCTAACTCACTGATATATCCCGTCGGCCACATGCTAAATAGCCGAATGTTCTCGTAACTACCCTCATTAAAATTTCAAACGGTCGGCCACCTAAATCTTCCTGACGGTCTGTAGGATTTTTTGCTTGGACGCTTGGCAAATCTTAGGATTCTAGTAGTGAAATTTTTGATGAATAAATTTGTCAGATTTTTTTAAACAACTTATTTATAGAAAGTTTTCACACGAAATACACAGTTTAGCAGTTTGAAAAGCATGCTAATGGAAAACGAGGATAATCTAATCCTATAAGCTGAAACGAGTGCACCCTAAAACTTTAGTCCCTAAAGTCCCAAACAGGGGTGACTAAACGGGACTAAAAGTGCATTAGTCCCTATGCGAGGAGCTTATAGGGACTAAAGTTTCTTCTTTTCACCTGCTGCCCCCACGCACAACCCTCTCTTTGCATGGTTTTCGGGGTAACATGGTCTTTGTACGGTGCAATTAATGACATTTAGTTCCTTTTAGTCCCTACATCCAAACAGGCATGGACTAAAGTTTTTAGTCGTAGGATCCAAACACCCTACGAGGGATGAAGGTGTAGAATTTATTGAGACTTGAATGATAAATTAGAGTAGAGCATACATCCCCTACAAATTAATCCAGCCCAACAATGTTATATATATTGTTCATTCAGATTCTGCTGCCACTACTGAGAAATATGATCGTTAAAGTATGGCCATCAGCAGTCATCAAAGACTTCACTCTTAATAGTATTAACGGCCACATAATTTTTTTCATCGTTATTGTACTAAAAATAAGGAATATTGTGTCATTATTAATTTATTAGTGACTAAAAATATACGAGGTTGTAAAATATAGGAGTCTTAGCGACTAGGACAACATACCATCTGTTGGAGAAATGGGAATTAGGATCCCCTTTCAGGCTTTCACCGGGTCTTAGGATAACCTTTACCACATCATCACTTTCTACAATAAGCATAATTCATTGCGAGGTCACAAACCATGTAAATGCAAGCTAATAGCTGACAGGGTGTGAGGATTGGGGCCTGCTCCAGCCGGGGCCTCGGGACACCTATGCCCTACATGGTTGCACACTGTATGTTAAGAGGAGTACGGAGACCTCTAAGATTTATATCTATAAGGTGGAATGGGGCCTGCTCCGGCCGAATCCCTAGGGCACCCAATCCCTTCATGGTAATTTATCATACGCTAATCAGCCACTATTTTTTTTGCATGCTATAGGGGGAGAGTTCCTAAGAACCCCTCCAAAGGAACGTAGCCTTAGCATCATGGTAAATCATTTCAAATTAATTTCTTTAGCATTATTATTTAATTGTTTCTACTTGTATAATATTACCCTGTATTTAGTATCACTTTCCCTTGTATTTAATTGCTTTAGCATTATTATTATTTTTTCCCCTCTACTTTTTTGGGTCAGTTTTAAATTTTCTTTGGAGAGATAAGTGTTGTTGTTTTATTTGATACCAACATTTTTTTTATCATAAGATGAGGGTATTGGTATTTGTTTGGCAGGGTAATAAACCTGTGTTACATAGTTGAACAAAAGATTTATTTGATCTTTTCACTTTAGACTGTGAATATATGCAAATTACATACCTATTTGTTTAATCAGATTATTTCATGATTAGATTTTATAATTACAATGAGTTGTGGTTTTTTTCATATATAGAATTTTAGAGCATGGAGGAGTGAAATAACAAAAGAAAAGAAGGAAAAAAAATGAAATGGGGAGGGAGTTTGGCCCAAGCCAAACAAGCCCAGCGCCTCCTCTATATTGTTGGGCCAGCCAAGCTAAAGCCCAAGAGGCCAGTTCGGTTCGCATGCGCGCAACGCGAGTAGGGGCAGGCCGACAGGGTGCGAGCCCATGATGGAGTGTAGAGCACACATCGTCGAACCGAGTGACGTGTACTTTTGCAAGAAAACCCGTTGGCTTTATAATATTTGATTTTTTTTCATTCTAATCATTTTTATATGAATATGATTTTGTTTAATTAGCATGAGATAGTTCATATACTTTTCACAACATACCTAAGTTTATTAGCATGGGAGTGATGGATAGCACATGTTTTTCCTTTCTAACTATTTTATTCTACTCGAGCAAGCATTTAAAAATATACCACTCCATCTGTCTAAATTTAATTTTGCAAGTCTCTTACAAGCTATAGGACGTATGCAAATCGTCGCAAATATCAATCTTGAGATATCTTCTACAAGCAGGCCGGAAGCACGAGCTTGATACCATGATTCTAATTCCTGGCTGCCCTCATGAGTTCGATGCTGCGGGGCGCCGCCGCGTGGGCGGTCGGACGGGCCCGAGCTCGACGCCTCACCAGGAGCGAAAGAATGAGGAACCGAAGAGAGACGAGGGGGATTGAGGGAGTAAGCATGCGCTGTGATTCGTACGGAACAGGTGTCGTGCAGAGCAACAAAGTCCTTTGGATGAGGGTAAGACTTCAGTCTTACATAATTTTCTTCCGTGTGACCAACGACCTTCTATCGTATTGATTATTAAAATAATTCAACTTGCCTTAGTTGAGCTGATATTGGAAGCTTATAATTATTTAAAAAATAAACTTGCACAATGGAAGCAAACTAAGCCCATTCCCAATTCAATGACTAGGATGGTGTCCATAACATTAAATAAGATGCCACCTAGGATAAAAAATAATGTGACAAGTGAATAAATAAGGAAAGAGAATAAAACCATGTCTTGCAGGAGACATGATTTCTATACAACATCCAAGACATCATGTGAGATAAGTAGCATTAAATCTAAGTATGGAATAGTGGTGTTTACATTGGAAGAGTAGTGTCCAGTACTCCCTCCATTCTAAATTGATCTACATATTTCATAGCTACACCAAAATTAAGAAAAGCTAATAACTCTCTCATACTATATTTACTCTAGCAACAAACTCAATGCATGCACCATCCCCAATATTTTCTAGCCAATAGCAAAATCAAGATATTGCATGTGGGTTATAAATACTTGTGTGCATGGATGCATGCATCAATGTCCATTTACTCCAATGCATAAATAACGAATAGACTCTTATAAATGAACACAAATATGTAGATCATTTAGGAAAAACATAAAAAAAAATTATATGTAGATCAATTTGGAATGGAGGGAGTACTAGTTTCTTGATGATGTGGAGTTTATGGTATGTCTAGTTTCTTTGGGTTGGAAATGGCCTTAAAAACAACGTACACTCTGTAGTTGTCGATGCATTTGTTAGGAATAGGCAGTGTGACCAACCACCGCACATCGAACTTAATGATTAAAATCAGCACACTATATAACAGACAACGATATGGAGGGCAGAATAACACGCACGCTAACTATACTAGCTTAAGCCAATGGCCACCTCTGTGAACGTTCACGGCGAAGACAAGGTCGTCGTCGACATGACCAAGCTTGTCCCGTCGCTGCCGCTGGAGACACGGTGCCCGCCGTTCCCACTGCGCCAGTACGGCGGCTTCTGGCTACCGGAGGGCATCCTCCCGGCGTTGGAGGCCATCCACACCAGGTTCGAGACGAGGCCATCCGACGTCTTCCGTGCGAGCTTTCCCAAGTCCGGCACCACCTGGCTCAAGGCGCTTGCCTTCGCGACCATCAACCGGGACGAGCACCCGCCGTCCGACGAGCACCACCTGCTCTGCCATCGCGGGCCGCACGACTGCGTCAAGTTCTTCGAGCCCACCGTCGCCGCCACCGGAAGCTTGGACGACTTCGCGGCACTCCCTTCGCCGCGTCTACTGTCGACGCATGTGTTACGATCCGATAGAGATATTTGGATCAGAGGAGTAGGTGAGGAAGAACAGAGGAGGGGTTTGAGAAGAACAGAGGAAGGAACAGGAAGAACAGAGTTAGCAGGAGAAAGGATTGTATTAGGGGGATAGTTTTGATTGTTCAAATGTTCAATATCCTTCTCCTATTACACAAGTGCTTATATAGATGCACTGATTACAGCTGTCATCCAGCCCATTCAGGTCCGGTCACTCGAACATTGGCACGCCTCGTCCGCCTCGGTCGCACCTGATGTCGAACCGGGTTCGCTACCTCTGAAGTTGTCGGACTGGGTACAGTGGAACTAGCTGCAGGTGTAACATCCCCCCTCCTTCAGAACCGGCTTACCCCCAAGCCGGTGCAGCAGGAAACTGATTGCGAAGTGCTGCAGCATCCTCCCATGTAGATTCAGCAGAAGTTTGGCCAGACCAGCGCACTTTCACTTGTTCAATTGTTGCTGCTCCCCGTCTGACCGCGCGGCATAGGAGGATTTGAAGGGGTACTGGACTATCTTGCTCCAGAGCAGGTAGCGGCCGGATTGGTTCCCCAACAGAAGGTTGAGCGGCCTTGCGAAGTTGCGATACATGCACCGCCGGATGAATGGTACAGTCCTCCGGAAGCTTCAAGCAATATGCCACAGCACCGATTTTGTCCAACACCTGACAGGGGCCAAAGTAGCGAAAAGCTAACTTGTGATTAGTGCGGACAGCTAGCGAAGTCTGGGCATAAGGCTGCGCCTTCAAAAACACCCAATCACCAATGCAAAACACTCTATCAGAGCAATGTTTATCAGCTTGATCTTTCATTCGTTGCTGGGCACGGAGGAGATGCTGACGCAACAAACTCGTCACCATAGTACGTTCCTTGCGCCATTCTTGCAAATCAGCAACAGCGTAGGTAACTCCGTCCAACACACCAAAATGACGAGGAGGATGACCATATAATACCTCAAATGGGGAAGAACCCAAGGCGGAATGGTAGGCGGTATTGTACCAAAATTCAGCAAGCGCCAACCAGCGAGACCAACGGCTGGGACAAGAATGTACGAAGCAGCGCAAAAAGGTCTCCAAACATTGATTTACCCGCTCCGTTTGCCCATCAATTTGAGGGTGATAGGCAGAACTCATCTGAAGTTGTGTGTCGGCCAGATGAAAAAGCTCAGTCCACAGTGCACTCGTGAAAATACGATCACGGTAAGAAATGATAGTTAGAGGAAGTCCATGGAGCTTGTACACATTGTTCAGATAGAGAAAGGCCACATCAAAGGCAGTGAATGGATGTGCCAAACCCAGAAAATGGGCATATCGACTGAATTTATCCACGACAACCAAAATACAGTCGAATCCAGAAGATTTGGGCAGTCCTTCGATAAAATCCAAAGACACTGTCTCCCAAGCCTGATCCGGCACGGGCAAAGGTTGAAGAAGCCCTGGGTAACGCATCCTTTCAGATTTAGCATGTTTGCAAACGGCGCAATCGGTCACAAAAGTCTGCACTGCCCGCTTGAGGCCTGTCCAGGCAAACAACCATTTCACTCGACTGTATGTGACCTGAATGCCCGAGTGCCCCCCAATTGCACTAGCATGCAAGGCTGTCAGAATGCGATGCTGTAAAGCTGGATTAGAGCCAACCAAGATACGCCCTTTGTAGAGAAGTACTCCTTGCTGCATAGTGTAATGGGGATACTGATCTGGAGACAACAACACTTGTGTCAGCAATTGCTCAGTAGCAGGTTCAGTCTTGTATCCTTCCTGCACCTCATTTAACCAAAGGGGTACCACAGCTGATAGAGCACAAATTTGCATAGGATCAGTCTGCGGATAACGAGATAACGCATCAGCTGCCTTATTGTCCAAGCCCTTCTTGTATTGCAGCTTATATTGAAGTCCCAAAAGTTTGGTCATGGCTTTCTGTTGCCATGGAGTGGCCAGACGCTGATCGCCTAGATGTATTAGACTGCACTGATCAGTTCTAATAATGAACTCTCCATATTGCAAATAAGAACGCCAATGATCGACAGCCAACAAAATAGCCAAGCATTCTTTTTCATATGTGGACAAACCTCAATTCTTGGGACCCAAAGCCTTACTCAAATATGCTAAGGGATGACCTGCTTGCATAAGAACTGCGCCTACTCCACGATCTGAAGCATCGGTCTCAATTTCAAAAGGTTTGGAGAAATCGGGCAATGCCAAAACAGGAGCTGATGTCAATGCCTTTTTGTCCAGAGGAACACAACATGTTTCTTAAGCAAGTCGGTGAGAGGGCGATTGATAACAGCAAAGTGGCGCACAAACTTCCGGTAGTACCCTGCCAGTCCAAGAAAACCTCGAACTTCCTTCACATTGCTTGGAATAGCCCACTGCTGAACAGCCTGAACATTCTTAGGATCTGTAGAGACGCCCGCCCCACTGATAACATGTCCTAAATAAGTAAGACTTTGCTGGGCAAATGTGCATTTGGAGTGTTTAACCTTCAATTGATGTTTTTGTAGAAGCTGAAAAACTTGTTTAAGCAATGACACATGGTCCTCCAGATTACTGCTATAAACAAGAATATCATCGATGAAGACAAGAACTCCTTTGCGTAGCAAGGGGGATAAAATAGTGTTCATCAATCCTTGGAAGGTGGCTGGAGCTCCGGTCAGGCCATAAGACATCACACGGAATTCATAGTGGCCATTATGAGTTTTAAATGCTGTCTTATACTCGTCTTCAAGTCTCATACGGATTTGATGATAGTCTGCCCGCAAATCCAAGCTAGAGAACAGACTTGAGCCAGCCAATTCATCGAGAAGTTCATCAATAATGGGCAAAGGATAGCGATTCTTGACTGTAATAGCGTTAAGATGTCGGTAATCAATGCAAAATCACCAAGTAAGGTCCTTCTTCAGCACCAATAAGACAGGAGACGAAAAGGGGGCTAGAACTGGGCTGAATGACACCCTGTTTCAGCATCTCGGCCACTTGTTTCTCGATCTCGTCTTTCTGGGCAGGATTGTATCGGTAAGGGCGCAAATTCACCGGCTGTGCTCCTGGTATCAAGGGAATAGCATGATCAAATTCACGAGCTGGAGGCAAACCAGAAGGCTCATCAAACACAGAAGCAAAATCCTACAATACTTGTGCAATGACTGATGGAACAACTGGTGATAGAGTCTCCTGTTCAATAAGGCACAGTTCCACTGTCTGTAATATCGAGTGATGGTGTAGTAACCCCTTCACCTGAGAGTCCGACATTCCAAAACAATGAGAGACGTCTGAGCGAACACCCCAAAGACACACCCTCTGCTAATTATACTGAAACTGCAAGGTTTTTTTCCCTCTAATCGACTTGCATAGGGCTGTGAGATTCCAGCCAATCCATTCCCAAGATGACGTCATAAGTTCCAAGAGGCAAAACCTTCAAGTTGGAATGAAAAGAGATTCCCTGAACCCACCAAATGCAGTTGACCAATTCCTGAGTGCATTGCAAAAGACCACCATCGGCCACTCGTACCTTGACAGCGGCAAACCCCTGACGGCGTCCTGACAGTTGTGCCGCCATAACCTCAGAGATGAAACTATGAGTACTACCAGAATCTACGAGCATGAGTACCTCATGTTGCTGCAACCATCCTTGCAACCGCAATGTTCCCGTTGTTTCCAAACCTAGCACAACTTCCCTTGAGATCTGACAGATTTCACTGTCAGCAGATTGCACAGGTTCAAATAACTCAGCTTCAGGTTCGATATTCGAGTCCATGATGTGATCATCCAACATCTCCCAAAGCTCTTCAAGCACATGTAATTGCACTGTCGGCCCACACTTATGATCCCGACTCCACCTTTCTCCACACGCAGGGCACAGCCCCTTCGCTCGGCGGTAAGCACGAAGAGCTGCCAATTTTTCATCCACTGCCGGCGTTCGCAGTTCCTCCATTTGCTGGCGATCATCAACACAGGGACCCGGCCCTGCTCCTTTGTGGACCCCCGTTTTTATAACAGGAATCAATCGTGTAAACAGTACCGTTTCCCTGGATCATGTAGTCTGGTACACACGAATTCATAGCTGGAATATTAAGTGCACATACACAAGAGTCTAGTGCGAATTATTACATCATAGGTCCGCAGGCATAGTCTTAGAACATAGGACCGAACGGTCTGGAATACAATCCAAAAGCAGAAGTAGATAAGACAGCGGAGTTAAGGCAGCAGCACGCCATTGCCACAGGCAACGACCGTAACTAAGACCTACTGAGCGCCATCGTCCTCATCGCCCTCCTGGAAGTAAGCGTAGGGATCCTCCGAAGCTTTATCTCTGACCTCTGATTAAGTTTTGTATATTGCAAGGGTGAGTACCAACCGTACTCAGCAAGCCACCACAGCAACAATGCACATGATAGAGGGTATTCAAGGAATGGCTATGGTTCATTTGCGTAAAGCAAGTTTTATAATTCTTTTCACAAGCCTAAGACCTAGCATAGACTGATCAAATTTTAGTACCAGTGTTCACATTAAACAACGGCGGTTCTGTTCACTATCCATTGTGATCCCAAGGATAGCTTCCCGCCATTGAGTCGTCATGGTTTTCTGAGGACGTCCACCTTCCCTCCTCTCAGGAAGTGGCTCCATCAGCATAAAAATCATCATGCAATATCCCATCCCACACAAGTTAAGAATTTAGAATCTAGCCAAGTGTAATACACGTCCCGGTGCTCAATAACCGCGAGCACGGCTATTCGAATAGATTTGGTTTACTCACATTGCAGTGGATGTACACTTTACCCGCACTCCGCGACTGCCCAACACATGAGCCTCGTCCCAACACATGAGACGCGTCATGGCAAAGCCTTTTGATAACCTCGCATTGGCAGTACCCGCTCCATGAACTTACATCCTCATGCACTCTAGGCGTCCATGTTTCTAGCAGTGAGAGGAGTTCTGGCGCTCCCGGGAAAGGAAGTCTCACACACTCATTAAGTTAGTTTCTCTCTCACACA